GTAGTCGGCTGCTGGTTCTTCAACCTGCAGTGCAACTGATTATTATATTACATATATGTAACCGTTTTTCCTACTTCGTGGGGCCCCTTGCCAACAGGCAGCCACATTCTGATTTCGATGGTACTCTGTATGTTTTTTATACTGACTAGAGTATTTTCAGTTTTGTTGGGAATTTTGAATTTGGCCCAGGTGGTGGCCAAAGCCTACTCTTTATCGATTTTAGAACCACCAAGGGATCTATGAAGTGCACACATGACCTCCAAGATTTTTTGCTCTTATCTAAGAAGACTAGGTGTTAGATCTTACCTACCCTAAGATCATCAAGGTTGACACGTAAGTGGTAAACCCACCCACAGGTCATGTCAGTTCTTTTCCGAGTAAGAGGAGACCATTTTACACATTGTGGGTTTGACCATTAGTCACCCTTGATGCATTTGCTAAGATCCCATTCACCTAAGATCCAGCCTTTTCTTTGCTCCCAAGCACCGGGATCTTGCGGAGACTACATGTACTTTATTTGTATTGTGTGAATCAAAGAAATCTTACTTATTGTTATTATTATTTATGTAAGTGTGGGAATGTATGAAAAACTATTGTATAAATAGACTCTGCTTACGATAAACATACACTCTCAAAATCTGGTAGGCCTACCTGTAACTGCCTGGCTGACTCCACAGTTGTGTTCTTTCCTGCTCCGCAGCTGTCCTGGTTGGGAACTACATGGGCCCATAAACTTTTATGGCATTTTGTTTTCAAGAAGCACGAAAGAGAATGGGTGAAAACGTGACAGTTATTAGTGTAAAATATGTTCTTTTTTAAATTCAGACAAAGCAATTGAATTAAAATGACTACTGTATTCATTTAATGGACTTGTCTTTTTATTTTTCTTATGACGTTTACCTTTATGCTTCTTTCTTTTTTTTTGCTGGCGTCTAAGGTGTAGTGTTAAGATTGGCTGCTGTTGAGCACAGAATACGTGCATTCGATTCTCATGAAAGAAGGGTTTTTTGTTGTTGCATAGAGTATGTCCATACGTCTTCTGGGATGCTGAAGGGTTGAAGTAATCTTCTGCTTTTATTAATATTATCTAAATTTTGTCAATAGGAACATAAAACCATTTACAACCAGTGTCTGTGGTGTAATGGTTATGCACTTTGCTGTTGCATACAGGAAATCTGAGTTTGATTCCAGAGTGGGGAGAATATTTTTATTAAGTAAGTTGATCTTTCTGCTTTAGCCTTGTCCCCACCAGGGCAGTGCTACTGACTGAAGTCATCTTTAGGCCATACCCAAAGGGGGGATATTAACTCCCAGCACTTCATGCAGTACTATATCATATAAATATATACGATGGCTGGTGATGTGGTATTTTGCCAATAAAATACATTTGTGTGTGTGCCTAAAAAAGGTACCAAAAGTCGGATTTTGACCATTTTGAATAAAGGGTTGTTGTCTTAGGAAATTCAATGCTGAACACAGGGTTTTTTGAATTTCTTAGATATCTCAAGTAGTTTTTGAGATATTGCACATTTAGCGAGGTGGTATAAAAATAAAATTTTGAGAAAATGAGCTTTCAAGTTTAACAAACATGAGAACACAAACAAACTTTAAAAAGCAACTATTTATTCAGTTGACGTCGATATCATGAATGGAATTCAATGGAAAAACACAGCAGGGAATAGAAAAGGTGCAACAACAATTGATTTTAATGCCTTTTAAAAGCAGTTTTCATTATTTGTTTTATTATACCCTTCCCTCAAAACAATTTAAAATAAAACATTTAGAAGTCAAATAAATGAAAACCCTTTGAGCATATGGTAAAAAAGTGTTGGAACTATCATTTTTTAAAATAGAAACACATTTTGGTCAAAAAAATGATTTTTGTCATTATCAGCCCGCAGCTCAAAACGGTCAGGGGCGACTTTTGGTACCTTTCTTTACGAGCACACTCATTATTTTTCTTCTTCTTTGTGATTGTTGGGGTAGATCTAGTCTGATTTCTGTTTCTGCATCTATTTTTAGTAACACGAAAAATTTGTCACACCTCAAGAAAGATTAATAACAAATATGAAATCTATTGGCTAGGTTTGAAAGACCATCTAATTTCCTTTCTATTGGTATATAATAATATTTCTATCTGGAACAGATAGTAGATAGATTATTGCAGGAGGCTCAGGAGCAAACAGTCTTGATATGAAATTTCCAGATTCAAGGGCAATAACTAAGAATTGTAGGATGTACTAGAATGGCTCTCATTTCTTTTTTTTCCAACAGAATGGTGTATCTTTGACACATAATATGCAGAACTGAATGCACTTTTCCATGAAATAATTGTTAACTCAAAATTCTCAGACACTTTTCCCCCCTTCTTTGTGACTGTTGGAAAAGTGTGATTTCTGTTTTTGTTTCTATTTTGTAGTAACAAGAAAAAAAGGCCCCACTTCAAGACAGCTTAACAAAAATGAAATCTATTGGCTACGTCTGAAAGACCATCTAGTTCCCTTCCCATTGACATATAATATGTCTATCTGGAGTAGACAGATTATTGTATGAGGCTTGAGGATATGGAGGACCCCTGAAACATAAATGAAAAAGCCAAAATAGGCAAAACTTCTGGGAGTTAACATGTTCTTATGCACACTAGAATTGTATATGCACTGATTTATCAATGCCATGCTCATACTGTGCAAAAGCAACATAGGGTGAACTGCTGCTTTTTCTTTTCTCCTCCTTACTATCGTCATTTTTCCTCTACTTCTTTTGTATATTTGTCACTCTCTTGTGAACTGCTATTTCCAGGGTTCCTTGCTAGTCGAAGCAGACATTTTTGCTTGCGAGTGCCGTAAAACCTTACTAAAACTAAACTGGGACCTGTATTTCTCTCAGCCCGGGTTTGCCTTGACAGGCAGAGTCAAAGACGACTACCTAAATGATCCAAATTGTCTCGATGGGGGCGTAAAAAACACCTTCATTAAAAAAATAATTGAAAAAACAATTACAATCACAACCATATACATGTATCCTTTTTTTCTTTTTTTTTTTGGTCTGTTTATGCAGAACCTGTGGTGTAGTTGCATTAGACACAATTTGATCTGGCTGTTGTTTAGTGCAGAATGTTACATGTATAGCTGCTCGCTGTATCCACCTGTGAGATGCTATGCTCTTGAGGGACCAACACATGCTTGCCTTCTAATAGGAAAATTTCAGTAGACAATAAATTCCTTTCGTGGACAATTGTATGTCTGTTTGAATGAAATGTTATATAATTAAAATTTATTTGCAGATATATTTTATACAAGATACCAAAAAAACAAAAAATCCTCTGTTTTAATGCCAGTTAAAAAATATACTATTATCTAATTCACAATGACTGAATATTTTAAAGACACTTCGGGAGATCCAGTGGTCACGCGCGGATCTAATTTTTTACCGTCCTATCCTGGGTAAATTAATTAGGCTACTTAATTTGCCCCTTTGTGTATGAGGGCCCAGCTCAGACAGAGCCCAGGTCAACAGTAACCTTGCTTTAGACTATAAGTCTTACACCAGTAAGTTCCTTTGCCAAAGAATTCAAGTACTTTTGAAGCAGCCTGGCTTTTATAGTCTGGTCCTTTTCTTGCTTTTGAAAGCAATTTACAACCATCTCATTGTGAGCTTTCAAACACTGATATATATATGGCCATATATTATTTAAAGCAAAAACATTGTCCACGTAGACCTAAAGGAAAAGATTTTCTCAAGGTGAATATCAAAATTGATTACAAAATATACTGGCAGTCAAAAGAAAGGTACTACTTTTTGATTGCGTATAAAAATCTAGTCTTTTTATTAGTCTATAACTTTAACTTTTCCTTTCACGTAAGTAGGCCAGTAGTGCAAAGTAGTCTTAAAAGTATATTATGTTATGTTATAAAAACAGTATTTTGGTGTTTTGATAAGTGTTCTTCCCACCATTGAAACAATAGAAAAGGGCATTTTTTTCTCGACCACGTGGCAGATGTTTTTCTGTTCTTTGTTATAAAAAAATGAAGTTTAGATGTTGTTTTTAAAAACCGCAACAACATGGCACCATAGGTTGATTTGACACTATGTCAAAGAAATCGAGCCGCCAGCATGCTACGCGAGTTTTACTATTGCTATATATATTTATGTACATAAAACTGCATTAAGTCAACTGAAACACTGACGCTGACGTTGAGTGTCCTTGCAACAGCAGAAACGCACGAAGAATGCTGATGGTTCGATTTCTCTGTTTGATGTCGATGAGTGTTTAACCTAGGCCGCCTAGGCCCCAACTAGAGAATACTAGTTGTTATCACAATAAAAAAAAAATGGTACCATCAGTGACCGTAGTTACGGTCTTTGGTACCATTTTGTAAATCGCTATTATAATGGTATCAATCCAAGACCAGCTAACGAAAGGGTTTTCCCGAAGTGCGTGGGTGAGCCCTTGAGCCTATATGGGGAATTACAATCCTCTATTTTTAGAATTATCCGAAATCGCTGTGTCGTGTGCGTCATAGACCTAGGATCGAGTTTTTATCTTTCTGGAACCGGAACGCTTGAGATTGCAAACGAGTGCGATTACCTAAACTTGGATTTTGTTCAGGGACAAGATTCTAGTTTTGTACTGTTATTGTTTTTCATAAGATGCATTGTTAAATCAAATTATTTGGCAACAGAAGTCACAAGGAAAGCAACTGGACCGGAGGGTATCAATCTGGATGAGTATTCGAGCCTTGGTATTCCTGATGTAATCAATGATATGTAATGTACGATCTTTAGCATTCCAATTTCACTTTTGGAAATCGAGTACACTATTCACACTATCGACTAGGCTATCTAGTTTCTCCTCTCCTGATGATGGCTCGGATGTCTCGTGTATATTTATGTGACGTCATGATCTAGCCCCAAGTGTTGTGTTTTCTGCTTGTTTGCGTTAACTATAAGTATAGGATACAGTTGATGTAAGTCAAACAATCTTTTTACTTATCCCACGCACAGGCAACAAAATGTATAACCTATACGTGCTCTGGTGTGGTTTGTTCCTTCTTTCTTATAAAAAAATCTATCGTCCTTATCTCTCCTTCTTTTTTTTTGTATGTTACTCTCTTGTACAGTAACACATCTCACACATTTATTCTTCAGCTCTTATATGACTTTATTGTGTTTCAAGTGCCGTAAAACTCTCACGAAAACTAAAAGGCCTATAGGCCTATCTATGTGTGTATAGTTTATAGTGTAGATTGTGTTGACGCTCTGGGCCCTGGATCGACTCTGCCCATTTCGTGAGGCTAGGCCTAGCCCAAGGAGATTAAAAGTAAAAGTTTAGATCTAGAACTAACTTGGGCTAGGCTAGCCAAATACAACTAGGCCTAAGCAGTGTAGGCACTAGGCCCAGGCCTAGTCTAGGCTAGTTCTTGCGAACCTGGCTTCCACTTCCGGTACCTGAATTCTAAGTAAATGGCCGACCAGTTCAAGAGAAGGATTGTTGATGAAAAGAAGATCTTCTCAGAGTGCAACACAATGGTCTGTTCAACAATTGGAGCATAAGTGTAAGCCTTGGATCTTTTACACAGAGCTGATATCATTAATAATTATTATATTAATCGAATTTTAGATCTCTAGTTTCCAGGACTCTAGATCTAGAATCTAGATTCTAGATCTAGATCTAGTCTAGATCTAGATTCTAGATCTAGATCTAGAATCTAGAAGAGGTGTCAAGACTGTCTACACTCTCGACTCTCGTTCATTTTGTTTTTGTTTGCTTTTCAAAAGGGTAGCCTAGGCCTAGCCTTGGTTGGGGCGACTTTGACAGGTTCGTGTAAGGGAGTGTATACAGACCCGGTAACCGGGAACAAAGTCACAAAGTATACAGACCCGGTAGGGGAACTCTTTTGTGATTTCGGAGAGTTTCAGCGCCCTCTTGGCTCAGGGTAGACCTAGGTTCTTCTAGATCTATGGTCTAGGTCTAGATCTAGGCAGACAGACATAAATAAATCTTTCATCTAGTTTCGCGGCTAACCTAGATCTAAATGAAGATTGCGGATGTCGTTTCGATAAACGATGGTTTTTCCTCCGTTTTGGAATTGGACGAAGAAAAGAACCAGTTACAATGTCATAATTTCAATCGAGCAGTCTCTCTCTCTCTCTCTCTCTCTCTCTCTCTCTCTC